ATCGTAACCTATGTTCATCGGGATAATGTAAACTGACCAAGTCCAACCTAGTGTCGTGAGTATCGAATACCACTGAGTTAAAAGCCATTAAAAGCATTCATACGCACAGGCGAGCTAGTCTGTTTTGCAGAGTGAGCAGTAATCACCGGCTGCCCAAATACATAATCCATCCGTAGTGTCACCGTTGGTGCATACGAAGACGACCAACGAGAATACACATGACCTCTGATATTCCAGCGGTGTGACTTTATTCAGCCTGAAGGCCGTCCGAATTGCCCACTCACTCGTACTGGTCAGCCAAACCCTCGAAACTGCGTTCACCCAATTATGAACACCATAGCGCGTAGCACTGGTGAAAATCTGTTCTGTCCAAACTTTTCTCCCACAAGACGCTGTTCATCCATAAAAAATCGTCCAGCTGTAGCACCCTTTCGGTGCCTAGCTGCCATGCCATCCGAAAGAAGAACTAGGGCTGGGATACTCCCACAGCTGAATGAACATCCTGACAAGGTGTAAAATATATTTCCCAGCGTATCAGCCTCCACTGAAAACACTATTTTAGCCATATAGGAAACTACTCACAAGGTTGCTAAAAACTTTTCGACGGCCCACGACCGGTTTCGCCCTTCCATTTCGGGCTCATCAGGTAGGCGCAGTCCCGGAGTTTCCGTCAACCCAAATAGGACAGCTTTCGAAGACGGAAACATGAGGCTGCCTGTTGCTGCATACTCAATTGAAGTGGGTCACCAAAAATAGGATATTTAGCCCGATTCAGTTGAGTCGGCGAAATTTTGGTTACATTCAATCCAGCTCAAGCACTACTGAAAGAATAAAAATACTAGAAAAAGCGAAGTATGCCGGGCAAATACACTTACCTGGAGTCTCTGCAGTGCCTGCTCACCAAACAATAGTTCGCCAATTCAAGCTACACGCAACAATGATGGCTGAGTCCCCCCCACCAATCTCTTTGTTTGTCTTCCGTTCCACATGGAGTTGACAGATCTCACTTTCACAGCCCTTTCTTTCGCATATCAAGCCGTCTAATCTACTTGAAATTTATTACGCGCGTGTACTGGTAGGCTGATGGCATTTCAGAGGCCTCTTACCCTTCTGAAAATCACAAGGTTCAGGCACAGCACTTGAACGCAGCATGCAATATGACCGACCTCCATCTGTCACACTCTTCAAACGCTTTGTCTGACGATAGAGTTGACCAGCCGGTCAACTTGAATTTCAACATCTGTTTACTTATTTCGGGGGCTGTGTCGGACTGAAACCAACTAAGCAGAATTCAAGCAGAGTTTAACACATGCTCTCTGCTCAAATCGGTCGATCGGTGTGGATAAGAAATAGCAAAAATAAACTACTTGTGACAAATTTTGATTGTTTAATCTCTATGGTAAGCTTGGAAGTCACGTCGCAACCTCATCACGTGTACTATCAGGTGACGATCATTAGTCGAATGTCCCATCAAAAATCAGGCTGTTCGAAGACCTGTGGAACTTTCCCCAACTCACGATTGTTTAATAAATCGCAAACTGAGAAAAAAACCATTCAATCGTAGCCAAAGTGCCATGCCGTCAGAAGAAAGCACGAAGGCTGGGATACTGCCAGGTTACCCAAGTCTAGACAGGTGAAGTCAAGAGGCAGAGGTCGGATTCGAACCACGGACCTTCCGGTCAGAAAATTCGCGCTCACCCACCGCAGTTGGACGAGAACCGACCAGTTCACTGAGAGACTATTCTGTCTTCTCGAAGAGCCATAACGGAATCTCACAACTGCGATCCTGTTATCAACAAACCAGCGACGTGAAAAGTTCCTTGTTAGCAACAAGGTAAAAAATAAATAAATAAATCGCTCAGCTGTAACACGCTTCCGGTGCCTAACTGCCGTATCGTCAGAAGGAAGCACGAAGGCTGGGATACTGCCAGGTTACCCAAGCCTAGAAAGGGGAAGTCGAAAGGCAGAGGTCGGATTCGAACCACGGACCTTCCGGTCAGTAAATTCGTACTCTAATCACTGAGCCATCTCGCGAACGGAAACACCGTTTTTGTTGCGTTTTAGACGTTCTACGAAAATTTGGAAGACTTCCATGTTCAGAGCTCTCGGAAGGGTTCCAACCAAAATCCTGCTGGCGATAGTTTTTCTCTCTGAAATACGGACAAAAACTGCTGAACTAGGTCGTATTCTCCAAAACTACTAAACTGATTAGTGTTTGTCGGAAATTTCACAGCAATCAGTCAGTTCAGTGAAAACGGACCGCCACTGCGAACGGTCCGAACCCGGTATCCTCTGGCGCCATTCGGATTCAGCAGCCGCACAACTTACACAGACTTTGATGTTGAGGGGTTCCTCGGGTGAAGTCTCAACATCATATTTAGATCTGGAAGTCAAACACTGTGTGATTTCCCAAGTACCGCCGTTGTTTCCTCTGAAAAATTACATCAAACAGTTGTACTAATTGGACAAGGGGGGAGAATGATCGTTCCAAAGTGACTTTCCCTTACCAAGGTCCTAGCAGTTCCTTGGTTTTTCCCATTCCGGCTCAGTCCGGCAGCACTCGATTCTGGCTAGATCTTGGACATGCGAAGGTCACACATTTGATGAGTAATACTCGTTTAAACTTTGATGGAGCGTGATACCAAGTATTTGATTCCTGGATGAGACATCCCAGAAGGGGTTGGCAAAATTAGATTGCAGTTTGGATAATTGCAAGGGTAACAACCAGTCATCCAAATGAACATTAGAGTTGGTCCGCGTCCAACAGCAAAGCTATCGACGAATTTAAGGTACTTATCAGTCCATATTGATTGTGAAGAGTTAAAAACCTCTAACTGCTTGCCGGGGCAAGATAGGCCAAGTGGTTAGAGCGCGAATTTACTGACCGGAAAGTCCGTGGTTCGAACCCGACCTCTGCCTCTCGACTTCCCCTGTCTAGGCTTGGGTAACCTGGCAGTATCCCAGCCCTCGCGCAGCCTTCGGGTGGCATGGCAGCTGGGCATCGAAATGGTGCTGCAGCTGAACGAACTGCATGCCTCCAGATTATAGAAGGCGCATGACTAGGATTAACAGGAGGTATTTGTCGCCAAACTTCCAACGCGTAGAGTACGTTCAGACTTGAAAAACTGAATCAGCTTTCTCCTCAAAATAGAAATAATGGATGAAGTTGTCTCAAATTCTTGAGGTTCCTCGAGGGTCTGTGATGTCAAACGTGCCCGTTCTGTCCACACTGTGTTTGCAGACGATATCATCTTGCACGGTTGTTCACTATACAACCATTAGCCCCCAATGTCATTCCAGTTTTACGACGGTCGTGGAACGCTATCGTCATCGTCTGCCACTCATTACTACCACAATCCTATGAAGCCCCCTAGCGTCAACCTCGGAACACCTGCTCTAACCTAAATCTGTTCCCGGGGTCCATTGTCGTTCATCCCACTCAGGCTGACTTTGTTTTGGAAACTTTCTTGCCCGTGACACAGCACAATACCTCCGAGAGGTGAGCGAGCATCTGAGAGGGCCAGTTTTCCACTTCGAGGACGTAGCTAGTCCGGATCTTTTCCACCACCGCTGCAAAAAGTGTATGTGCGAAAAGTTAGGCCCGGCCACCTTTTGCCAGCTCCAATTTAATGCACGCACACAGCCTTGACCTATTTTTGGTGAAAACTATTCCTCATCCGCATCTAGGCTCATTTTGTGCAAAAAGTTTCTCCGTTCGTAGGTAAAACCTTAAATGAACTTTCTGACGCTCTCAACTCTCGTTCATGACAAGGAGAAGGCAATGCGTTTTTTTGCAAACCCACGGAGTAATACATCAGCAACGTTTATGTAACAATGGGCATCAAATGACACTTTTGAGTGTTTCTGATAAGTTGGGGTGTGATGCCTGATAGTGTCGGCAAGATATCGGTCCTCGAAAGGGAACTTGGCTGGAGTGGTCTAGGATGGAGTCTAGAACAGTAATTCTATTCATTTATTGCTGGTCCACAAATTTGGCAAAAATCAAATTCTTCTCAGAGGAATTATATATTAGCCACACGACCGCTGTTGACTGGGAGAAATTTCTTCGCGAAGTTTTCGCCTGGCAGCTTTTGCAGACTCCAACAGTTATCGGCGACCCAGGTCACCACGTCGAGATCGACGAAACGCTAATATCTCGCCGTAGAAACCACGCAGGGCACGTCTACAAGCTGCAAAATAGACGCCCAACGCGATACACATCGATCTCTAGTGGACAAATACTTTGATGAGTTCTTTTGGAGGCAATGGTACCGAAGAACGGACCTTTTCATGCAAATTATCAATGACATATCCCAATTTCACTCTCTTCATTAAAAACTAAAAGTACAAATTTCATGTCTTTTTTTCTGATCCATTTTGGGTGGCGGGGATTAATTTTTTGGCGGGGCTTATCTGGAATTATCCCGTTCCAAATTGTCGATTCGCGCTTCGACCATTGAGTCATCTCGCCCTGAGGAGGGTCACTACGATTGGTTGTAACGATTGTTTGAGAAACCCCATTGACAGTTGTGCGTGTGTGTGTGTGTGTGCGTGTGCGTGTGTGTGTGTGTGTGTGAACAAAACGGAAGTCTATCTATTTTGTTTAGCCATTTTTTTGGACCGTCATGATCCAGCCGCTTCTGTTTAGGCACGTATTCCAAGTATACTGACCATTTTTTCGCACGCAGCACATTTCTTTCTGAGACTTCGCAAACTAATGCGACCTGTCGCAAATTTTTTGCAAAAGCGTCGAACGCATACTTGACAAGAACCAAGGCATTTCGTGAACCGTTGAGAGTTACCTCGAACTCTCCACTGGACGGTCATTTCATGAAGTATGTTCATCAAAATTCTAACGTGCAATCGAAATGTGACAAACTGTGAAGATTGGAGAGACTCTTTTCTCGCTTTTTTCTTTCTAAAAATATCGATTGAATTCATGGTTGAATCACAATAAAACAGCGTATCAAACTAGTCGTGGAACAGGGGGGGAGACTTACAGTCTTGAGCCATTCCACCGCTCAGACAACGGTCGAAACGACATTTTTGACAACTGTTTCTGTTCTGCTTGTCTGCCACTGAACATCGTCCGTTGAATTTACACGTGTAGACCAGTTTCTTTTGTACGGAACGTCGGAAAAATCCTTTGCAACCCTCGCATGTCATTGCACGATAATGGAATCCGGTTGCACTGTCTCCGCACACAACACAGGGTTCCGGGCCTTTGGCTGGGTCCATATAGCTTGGGATGTACGGATCTTCTGTCGTCGAGGAGAACAAACGCACATGATGAGAGGTGTGGCTAAATAAACAGGTAGTAATAGAGTAGATCTTTGGGAGGGGGGAATATTCAACTCAACCGCGGTTTCTAGGCCGTTGCATGAAAGGTTCGAAGTCACTTTACTCTCCCGGAAGCTAACTATTTTAAAAAGAAAAGCTCGCGTTGCTAGGACGTTCAGGGCGAAGCTCGTCTCAGATCTTGTTGAACAAACCGAGCACCAAGTGGTGTGTTATGTGGAAAGTTCCAAGTAACAAAACAGCGTAGCTGTAATCCGAAATTTCGGTTGCTATGGCCAATCTCTTTCAAGGATTTCTACAATTAATTGACTACGAGACAAGTGAAGCGTTGTCTGGGTGCGGTATCATCTCTCCTGATCGGTGTAGTCCTGAGATCCGTTGGCAGTCAGGTGCGACCAGACTGATCACGTACTCAGTGCTCACGTACACCACGCGCAGGAAATTCCGCCCTGTAGATGAATTACCCACAATTCCTAGTTCACGCTGGACTTCTGCCTTGTCATAAGCTGAGTGTTGTTCCAAAGGGGCCACACAATGACCTGGCGTCGAAAAATGTAAGCTCTAGCTAACATTGACTCATTAAAAAGATAGAAGCTGGCAATCAGCTGATCTCAAGTTCGTCAGCACGCTGCTTGTGGTTGGAAACAAGGCGTGTCGATATCGACAGAAGCCATCCTGTTAAGATAACAAGAATTTGAGTGGAACTCAAAAGTTTAATGGCAGTTTGTTGCCGATTCCTATTTTGTCTTCCCACCTAAACTCGGGATTCCTGGATTGCGACCTCTCGTCAGTAAGGTCGCCTCAATCAACTCGACCTCCTAAAATAACTGTTGAACGCACGCTTGAACTGACTTTGGTGGGAAAGTCAAGCTGTAGTAATCAGGTTTTTGCTAACTGCGACAGTGGATCCAGTACCGCCCACAGTAACTACCTAGCTAAGAATAGTTCTCTGAAACGAGCATTGCGAAGCAACTTGGCACATGCCTGCGGACGACTGCTTACTAGGTTCCAGTTTGGCTGCTTTTTGAAGCAGAATTTCACGAGAAGGATCTCACATTTCCTGTCCAGCTATCTGGTTCTAAAGTCAACAGTGGTCCCTGATAATGTTTAGCCAGCTACTACACGGAAAACGTAAAATATCAGCCGGTCACAATAGAATGAGCTATTACCTTCAAAGGTTGGTCATTTCAGCCGGTTTCAGCCCTTCTGGTACCTAGCTGCCATGAAACGCGAAGGAGGCACGGGAGATGTGATTCTGTCAGGCTGCTCACGCCTAGACGGGAGGAGTCGAGATGGAGAGGTTGGGTTCAAATCACGGACTTACGGTCTGTAGGTTCACGCCTTAACCACTGAGCTGACTGCCCTCTTCTACTGGGCGATAAAAGACCCCAGAAGCTAAAGCCACCGTACACCGAGAGATAGTTAAATACTTTACTCTGTTGTTTTGTCAACTCAAGAGAAAAGAACCAACGGTATGATCTCAACTTCTACTGCATCCGGACTGCTAAGACAAAGATGTTCTGACTAGTGCTTCAACCGGTTGGACTGGTCGTTAGAACACATGAAGTCATGTGATGGATACCACTGCAAAGTTTCCGCGGCACACCGATATTCAATTTAGTTCACTTCACTTCAGTTCAGTTCACTAATTCGACGCAATTCAATTCATCGGCTACAAACCGTGTGCCATAAGCATATTGGTTCCAGGTGCTACAGTTTCGATCACCAGAAAACGAGAAAATAGAACATACAACCAAGCCTTGGAGGCGAAGTCCCGCTCGGCAATTGGGTAGCTACGCATTGAAGTCGAGGGCTATGATACACTGCGCGATTGGGCCGTTCCCGCCAATGTCACTAACCACCGGTGATTTGAGTCCCGGGGTCACCATCCAAGGAGGCGGCAGTTGCCCACCCGGTCAAGTTTACTGGTTTATTTTTCGTACTTTGTTGCCAGGTGATAAACCCCGATAAAGAGAACAATGAAAGTTAGTGCGCTGCCGTTTGAACTAAAATCTACGCGCAATGACATTGGGCTTAATTAAATCAATTTATTGCGGCGTACGTGTCCGAAGGTGTGAAACATCATTAGAAACACTTTGGACAGGTGTTCAACGGATGCAGATATCTTCCCCAATAGCTGGAGCTTAGTAAGATGAAAAAAACGTTTTCAATATAATCAGGGTGACACCACCCACGGTGTAGATATCTGACAGCTTTCTATTCATTTTAAACAATCGGTCTTCGTGGGGAGGTGAAGTACTGATGTCATATTGTCAATCTGGATGATGCATTGGACTTCGAAATTCACCAAGAATTCGGAAAGGCATACTACGGAAAGAGCGTTGGGACAGACCAAAGAACGTGCGGTGGACACTGTCCTACAAATAGGCAAGCGAGTAGCACGCACCAAAAAAGTGACCCTTAGGGAACTGGAATCTAATATCTAATGGACCATTCAACTTCATCCCAAAAAGATCGGGGGTGAGATAGTTACTTTAAAATCAGAAAATTGTCACCTGTGGGGTGATGGTGATGACTGTGGTTATACTGAAGACAACATTGTATCTAAGCCGTTGCAATCATCAAGCAAAAATCAAACGGAATTCTCAGGTCAGCCTAAATGAGTTTTTCAAGCCCAGCCTCCACCAGCAGAGACAAGTTTATAGGCAAATATGTTAGGCAACGTAGAACAAATGTTCCATTTTGCCGGTCAGTGGGAGAGTAAATCCAACCAACGGTGTCATCTAGATTGTTGATTTTATCGAATTTCGAAAATTCTACCAACCCCATTCATAGCCTCGGAATTGGAGAAGATGGCTGTGATACGGAATCACAGGTTCGGAGCACATACGTCGTGGAACAGAACCTGACTAAAGTTCATGTGAATGTAAAACACTCATCCACAGCAAAGGAATTCTTCTTGTAAGTTATCTCGATGATCGAATGAATGCAACTGGATTACGGATTGTAGACAAAACGCTGGTCCCCAGACGTCCGATGCGTCATTGATCTTGACTTGTTTTCTTCATAAACATGACTAAAGAAGATGAAAGACGAACGAGGTGAACGGCTGATTCGCCACCCACATCGACAAGATGGCATAACGGAAATTTCTGACTCTAGACAAAGATCTACTCGGAGTGAAAATGAGAATACCACGAATCGCTTCACGTGTTTTCGAATAGACAGCTGCTGTCAGTTGGTGCCAACGACTTACTTTTCCTTTGGCGTGGTGTTTTCTGAGAGGAGTTGGAATGCTTGGACAATGGTGTGGTAGACGAAACTTGACAGGTTCCCGCAGTGTAGCTACTGGAATAGACGCCCCGACCAACTTCATTCATAACAGGGCAAGGTATTTCTGGATTGGGATAGTAAGCGTCCATTATCTGACAACCATTCTTCTCGGCTTGCGACACTGGCGGATCCCAGTAAGCATCAGGAATGGACGGACCTCGTGCAGTTGGCGAAACCAAGGTCACCAAATCCGTGCTCGGTACCTCGGGGACGCGGCCAAACGAGCCCGCAACAACAAGTTGTGTTTCCGTGGGCGAATGTCGAATCGGACCCAGTGTTGAATGAGGTGCGGTGGGCAGAAGTGTAGTAGTCCATGGATGTTCGCAATTTGTCGGAACTGATGACGTGTGAACTGGTGATATAGTATTATCCATTACCCTGTTGTAGGTGGTTGATACGGGCGGTTTAGGACATGGACAAGTTAAGGTGAGCTGACCCTCTCTCGTGGCCTCAGATTGAACTGACTCGTGCTGAGAGAAATGCAGTGTTCAGGTCTCGTCTACCAAAGCCGGTTTATGATGTCGCTATGTCTACCCTCCTAGATTTTGAAACCACAGTGGCAAGCCAGTCTAATGCAGCCAAATGAAGCGACTATTCGTGGCTAGATTCAGGTCATGCTCCATCGTTGTGTCGACGTCTGCCGTCAGGCGTTGCATGATTGGTTCGTTGGTCACACGACAGCAGGCCTGGCCACACAAGCCGACAGCCCGCCACGCCCTACCCTGGTGCAGTCCGATTGGTAGAACCAAGAGGTCAAACAAAGGTCATTCGAAAAATGCATTATTGATTCGCTAACAGTGGTTACAAGGCAGCTGATCCTTAAGCGCAGGCGTGTACGCGCAAGCACAAAGGCGCACACACACGCACGCCAGTATGAGGCAAGCCAACAAAAACGCAACCGCGTGCATTGCTGCTTACTCATGCCCGCACGAGAACACCGATCGTCAAAACCGTCCCAGGGTGTGGATTGCAAGCGAGCGATGCTGGCTGATTCTGCTACGAACAAAGAGCGGCCATGTCACAATGCGTCCTAACATGCACAATGACTAATTCCCAGTTGGCAAGCCCTACTCACCAGGTTGTGTGCTGTGCCTGCTGAAACAACGAGAAGAGCAGCAATCGACACACACACACACACGTGTCAAGTCAGCGAATTCCAACGACGTCGAGTGATCTTAGTCCAGAACTGCATAGCCTTGAACCTGAAGCACGCTGTGTATCATGGAAGTGTTACCGGAGCTATTCAGATCTTAAGCTGTTGCAATCTTAGGGTAGTGGACGGCAAATTAATAATGGGTGAAAAACTTCGTCAACGGGTCGCTTGTTGGACTGTGGTCGGCCGAGGTATAGGGTAAAAGATTTTATTCGGGAGGGGAGACTGTGGTTTCAAGAACACAAGCTCCAGATTTATCGATATATTTACCCCAAATCTAGGTTGTTCCGCAAAACGTGGAATAAAATTAGCCGCTTATTGTTGGTTACATCAATAAAACAGAAATTTGGATTCGAAACTCAATATTGTGTCCTTTTTATTCGTGTCATCGGAACCGACACAGAATGTAACTTGATATGTTATTCACTATTCACTATCTTCAGTTTCGGGTGCAAAACTTGAAGTTTGTGCAGCAGAAACAACACTGAACAGTTACTGATTGGCCAGCTGCTGCGGGTCACATGACCAGCACGAGGGTTATAGCAGTGTTTGCTTCAACAGTTCCTACCTAGTTGTTCAGATTGACATGAATCGTTTGGCAGAGCTTCGCTAATTGCTAGGAAAAAAATCGTTCAGCTGTAGCACCTTTTCGACGCCTAGCTGCCATGCCACCCGAAGGTTGCACGAGGGCTGGGATACTGCCAGGTTGCCCAAGCCTAGACAGGGGAAGTCGAGAGGCGGAGGTTGGATTCGAACCACGGACCTTCCGGTCGGTATATTCGCGCTCTAACCACTTAGGCCATCTCGCCCCCTAAGAAGTTAAGCTTTGTGTTGTGCAACAGAATTCAAAGTGGATGCTGTAGATAAATGCTGACCTAATGGGGCCCCGGAATCTGCATGAGCGACAGATAAGTTATGTGGCATAGTTTCACGCTCGTGTGGGAAATTCACCTGGTAGTCAGCATCAGACGTAGCTGGGTGGTAATACAGAGCCGAAGTGGGCATTATCGTTGGTCACGTGATCGCCTTTGGAACCTTTCCTGACTGGCTGACTGAACCGGTAGTCAGGTCATGAGATCGTTTGCAGCCCTCTAGATAACAATTCAACGCTTCCAAGGATGTTTTCTTAAATCTACCTTCACTGCGAGTGGGGCCACCCGAACCCCTACATGCAACGCAAACTCAGCTCAAATTTGAAGCATGCCAATACAACAGTGCATCTAGTATTTTCTGAAGTGTTTTCTTGGCCAGTATGTTGGTCTGTGTACCTGTTTTGGCGTGTGTGACACACGATATCCACAAAACAAACTGCTCAACTAGTTACTGGGGACAATACTTCGACGTCTTTCAAATGGACACAACAGGTAGCAACATTGTGACCAGACATTTCCTCTACCTCTCCCCGGTTCCCATTTCCAGTCGATAAACTGTAAATTTTCAGCATTCTTTTCTAAATCACCGCTAATTCCAGAGTTCCACTCATGACGTATTCAGCAACTGGAATACCATCTGTTTGTCAACATCACTCAAATGAAACATTTCGCACTTGAGTTTGGCTCGGTAGAAGGAGACCTGTCCAAAGGGAAGTGATGTGGATGTGAATTCAGCGCATTCCGCCAATCCGTAGTTGTCCAGCGGGCTTCAAGCCCGACTGGTAAGTCCTGACATGCGGGTCAGCCGATCGGCTACACCAGGACAGTCACTGATTCGTCATTCCAACCGTCGAGGAAACCCGTCACATCGCTCAAGTTTGAACACCTTTGCCCGTCCAATGGTAATATGCTCACCTCACCTCTCATGTCGGATGTCCTGTACGGCCAACGATATGTATTGGTGATGAGCGGAACTCGAGTTCAGTGCGTTCCTTCCTCATTTGATATGGACTTAGGAGAATACTAGTTAGGGCAGGGGGTGGAATGTTCGAACGAGAATGATTTGGACGCTGCATTCAACGTCCACACTCTGAAGCAAGCACGGCAACAAGCTACTCTTGCCCTCACACTGGATTCGCTTTGCATTGATGTGTATCAGATACAAGGAGTCAAGAAGCCAGCACAGCGATTGAGCCAATCGCCGCATCACTCTGTTCTCACTTCCAGCTGTGCACCTCTGGTGATACAGATGCTGTTGTGATAGGAGATGCAGGATTTAGTAAGTCACTGGTTGGGAGAATCCTTCTTTGACTGGATGCCCGATGATAGTCGCCTCTGTGCGGTTCGTCCGACAGTATCCGTGAAGGAGTCTCACAAGGGGGAGGTTGATCGCTGTCTAATTGCCGTGTCTGCCTAGTCCCCAATTTACTGTAGCTGTCACACCATTAAAGACGGGTTTTAAACACCCTGAATGCGGTGTTGCGGTCAGCTTAAAGCTCAGACATCGTGGTGGTTGCCAGAGATCCGAGTGGGCAGGCTTAACGCATCTGTGAATCACTTAGGTGGTCGACATGGATTGGTCGGGGTAAGTACGGACAACGGAGAACAATTACTTCAGCTGTGTACTGACCACGGGCAGTTTTTAGGAAGTACTAACTTCCGAAATAACCGAAGTCGTCCGGCCACTTGTGTTCTGCAAAAGTGTGTCTGCCAATAATTCAAGAATTCATGATCAGTTACCGTTGCAACCAAACAGTAAATGACTGCAGTTCGTTTTGGGCCGTTATTGTGGATTCCGACGACACGGTCGTCTGTAGGCGGTTCCATCTTCTCTTTCCAGAACCGCGGACAAGTCGCTTAACAAGTGGGAATTTGACAGAATTCATGAGAATAGTCTTCGCGATTCTTTTCAAACTGCTCCGCCGCCATTTATTTATTTCTGCTCGAACAAGATCTACACCACTTAATACAGTGCCGGGAAGGTGTGCCCTGGAATGGCGCTGCAGGATCTACTGAAGTACCGGATATCAGAAAGAACAGTAGGCCTGCCTGAATTTTGGAAGCATAATTTGGCCCGATGACTTATCATACGCCAAGTGAAAGTAGGCAAGTGTGCCGACTATGAAACTTGGTGGACACAGATGTTTCGGAAAATGGAAGAGGCATAGAAAGACGGGAATGCGAGCCGCTGAAGCCAATGAGTGGAACTGAGAATTGGCATACTGTTGTCCCAGAACCATAGCAGGCTGGTGTCGATGAATCCCCAACGAGGCAAGTAGAAAGTGAGTTTTCGGTTAGACTGTGAATTGTGTATACCGAACCCTCGTTTGCAGAATGGAGTGCTTTTTTCGTCTTATTTCAGAGAGCGAAAGCAGACAGGTGGCCAACATCGGCGTTTCAGAGGGGTGTGAGACAAATCACGAAACTTTTTGGTGCTGTGCATGACATTCACCTTCCAGGATGGAGACCATGTTATTCTCACTGCGCCTGATTGGGGACGCTGCAAGTTAGGACTCCCAATCGACGTCAGTGGCGTTCTTTTTGTCAGTTTCTAGCCAGATTGCCTTGACATTTGTTTGGACGTGTAAGTACCTCGGAATAATTGAGATAGGCCAGCGGTAAGTCCTTTTCTCAACCTCTTTTATTCTCTTCTTCACAATGAGGCTTCCAAAGAAACTATTTGTAACTAACCGCTATCTACGAACAATATGTGCATCAAACACTGCACCCCACCATGATAAAGGATAATTCATCTATTTTTGTAATGCACTACTCATAAGGCTGCTGAAAACTCCTCGACAGTCCACGACCGGTTTCGCCCTTCTTGGGACTCATCAGGTAGGCGCATTCACCGAGTTTCTGTCAACCTTATGTTCTACTTGAAACCAAATTGCGCGAAATTAGCCAATATAAACGCATTTGCAAACTGATTTGGTTTTTCGAGAGGTTCACCTGAAACCCAGCTGAATCTCTCGGTTTTGATGTTTCCAGGCAACTAAATGTGCCGAGAGACTCAGATAGTTCCAGGTGTCTCTCGAAAAACCAATGAGTGTATATTCGACAATTCATCTACTTTTGTCACGCCATTGAATATTACTGAATCTTACGAGCAGTGCAGTACGTCTATACGATCTACTGGATACTTAGATACAATTGGGGGTTATCAGAATTTGATCTCCTCTACCTGTCAGCACGTTTCCCCTACCAAGATCCAACTAGGTGCATCAATCACAGAAGGGATCGCCAGAGATTACGAGAGACACTGACAATCGTCTTTGATGTGTAATTTTGACGAATCAGTCCATACCAAAAGTTGACTCTGCTGCTGACACACTTTTGTGACATCTAAGCAGAGGCCGGTTCGTATTCCAAATTGTGACCTCTGCTATTCCCTTTTATCCCACGTCCTATATGTACGGTGAGAATGGCAAAACAATTTGCTTTA